TCGTCAGTAAAATTGAAATTAAATATTTAACACAATATATTATTTTTTTAGTATACATTTTTGCTAAATATTACTGTAAAAATATTAGTAGGTAATTTTTAATATGGTTGTATGGATGTTATTTACGTATAGTAATATTTATTGTATTATACAAAATATAAATATTAAGTTAATAAAAAGATTTGCGAAATATCTCAAGATTATAAAGAACCTTACACTGTCTGTGGAACATGTAGTTGATAATTTTAATGGTAAGTATTTTTAATATCAATTTTAATTTCCGTTTATTTATTTATTATTATTATTATCATTATTAGCATTATTATGATTATTATCATTATTATTATTATTATCATTAGCTTTCTTATTTAATTAATTAATTGAATATTTACATGTGTTTTTAGAACCTACCATCTTATCTTATCTTATTTTATTATTAAATTTAACCAGCAAAAAAAAAATCACCCGGTATAATATTTAAAATTAAATAAAAAAATTATTTGCTTTATATATTACCTATAGGTATACAGCGGTAAACGGAAAAAAAGCCCCTGGAAAAAAAACCATGGAAAAAAAACCCCCGAAAAAAAAAACCCCGGAAAAAAAACCCCTAGGAAAATAAACCTACAGGAAAAAATACCCCCTTACAATTTTTTTCGGAATTTTTTAACAATTTCTTTATATTTTTTTTAACTTTTTTAGAATTTTTTTACAATTTTTTTTACAATTTTTAGCATTTTTGGGCATTGATTTTTGCAATTTTTTTTTTATTTTTGCCAATTTCGGGGATTTTTACTCAATGGGGCGGGGGGGGCCAATGGGGCGGGGTCGGTAGGGTTGTGTTGTTGAGTTTGGGTTGATTTGGGTTGGTTTCGCTCATTTTTGCGGTATTTTTACAATTTTTGCATTTTTTATGTGACACTCGTCAAACCGGGATTTATTTTTTGGCTTTTTTTTCCTTGGGTTTTTTTTCCTAGGGGTTTTTTTTCCTAGGCGTTTTTTTTTCGGGGGTTTTTTTTCCGGGGGTTTTTTTTCCGTGGTTTTTTTTCCAGGGGTTTTATTTCCTAGATTCGTATACAGCATACCAAATTTTAAACTTGTATTTTAAAATTTATATTTTTTTAATATTTAATATTAACCGCGGTTACTGTATAATTTTAATACCCTCTATCTATAAAAATACTAAAATACTTTAATTTGAATGCTGATTAGTGAAAATGGAATTTTTAATATTTTTCAAATTAATTAATTAACCAAAAAGTTTCCACCCCGGTTTTCTTCTTCACTTTAAATTAAAAAATGAGTGATACGTCATTTTAAAGGCATTTTAAATCTCTACATTTTGGCGTATTAGTTTTTAAAATCGGTTAGTTTGTTCCTGAGATATTTAAGACAAAAATAAATTAAAAAAGAAAAATTTTCTGTAATATCGTGAAAACAAACAAACCGATTAAAAACTATTACGTCAAAATAAAAAAAAATAAAATGCCCTTAAAATTATACGATACCCGTATTAGTTTTAAAATGGGTTGGTACGTTATTTGAGAAAAACTTAATTTTTTAATTTATTAATTATACACCATTATATATTCACAAGAATCATTTTATAAAATCACGTACTTTTAAAGCACACTTAATTAAAGTAATAATTTGTGCGAACCAACCGATTTTAAAAACTAATACGCCAAAATTTTAAGGGAAGAAGAAAAAATAATTTGATGAAGTACGCAAAATAAATAAAGTTAAATTTTTTAAAGGAAATACTTAAATTTTCTTTGCTGTCGAAACTATATTCGTCTACAGGATTTTCTGCATTTCTTTGGATGGGGATAAGGGGCGTAGCTTCCGCGGTATCAGCCGTATCAATGATACGGGACCCCCGGATAGGGGGGGCCCCCGATTGACTTCGACATGCGTAAGCAAAAAATATATTACCCACATGTTAAAAAAACTGAGGCATCAAATTAAATAAATAAATAATATTTTTATTAAATTGTTTATTCTTCGATTTATTAAATTAAAATTTTCCTGAATACCCTCCTGTTCCAACGAGGCCGTTAACTCATACAAAATGTTTCTGCCCGCACCTTTCCGCTATGCGTTGTCTACGGCGCAGGGTGTTATTATCATAGGTTAAATTAATAGCAAATTAGAAATAATTATTAGCGTTACCATTGTTTCAAATGACTTTCCTTTATTTTAAAATAGAAACCTTTTAAAAGATGTTGAAGAACGGTAAATGTCTAAAACCAGATCAAATTTTAAAATTTGCCTGTACATAAAAAGCTATGTTTACATGGGTGAATATATTGAGATGTCCCCCAAGTGAAAATGATTATTTTTTATTTTTGTTTGTTTCACTGTTAGTCTAGAATGGGGTTTTTGGCAAGCCACCAGGTCTAGCAATACCATAACATAAGTGTTTCTGCACTAATGCAAGAATTTTAAGAAATCAAACATTTTGAATATTAGAGCTTCACGGAAGATATCTTCACGGAGGTTAGGATTTCGTATGTTTTTTTTACCTTTGTATAATATATATACAATGTATATTTAAAATAAGTTATTGTATCTTTTGACACCTTAATATTTTTTAAAAATACAATTGTACATACATAAAATATTTATAAAAAAATCTACTTACTGAGATATTACACTTCACGGTGGATAGGTTTTTAAATAGCAAATTAATGAACTTAAACTTTTGAATTATTAAACAGCAACACTCTCATCTGCATATAAATTCTAACTGACCTCAGGAATCACATGCATCTATAATGTCGTAAATAGAGGTTTTTGCTTATTTAAAATAGTCTGACTAACGGTTATCCCCTGTGATTTACCATTAAGGATATAAATACATATAGGTAGATGAAGAGGGGTACATTAGGTAACTGGGACCAATTATTTTTACTATAAAGGCAGGGAAAATGTTGGTAACTAGTAATGGGCAACGTATCCATAATTGGACCAGGAAACAAAAATTTGAAGTCCGAGGGCTTTGAGGGAATATGTGCAAGCCAAAAAGAACCAGTTCTTTACCTATTTTTCGCCCACAAATAAATGTCGACCTCAAACACAAAAGTTTGGTTAAATTTTTGTAAATTTCAACCCTTTTGGGGCAATTTGGTGGCCACCTCAAGATGTAGAGGACAATTTATTTTTTTTTGAAAAATTAAGGTATAAGGTATATATATATATATATATATATATATATATGAGTACATTAGATGCAAAACTAGGTTTTTGCACATTTTAAAAAAATATATATTTTATCTTATTTATGATCATAACTGCACTGCCCACAGCATAACTAAGTAAACCAGATGCATAAGTTAATATTTGTAGAATAAAATACATTTATAAACTTACCGCAGCTGCAAAACTGGGTATTTGTCGGATGCAAAACTCGGTATTTGACCAATCACCAATCACGTCGCTAGTATACGCATTAACTGACGGCATAACAATCACCTGATTAATTGTTATTTTTTTGGTATTTGCACTTTTCACTTGCAAAACTTGGTCTTTGAACGAGGAAGATGTAAAACTATGTTTTTAAATCTTTTGATTTTAATTATTTACTAAACTACTTAATTTTAAAGGACTTTTTTTTACTTTTTTAAATAGGAAATGATGCAAAAGCACGTCTATACGATTTTTGTATTTTTTTTTTTCAAATATGACCTTATGAGCGGTTTTTCGTGTTTTTCTTAAAATCACTTATCCTGCAAATACAGAGTTGTGCATCTAATGTACTCATATATATATATATGTATTTTATATATATATATATGTATCCTTAAATAATTTTTAAATTTTAATTTTTCTTGTTACCTACAAAATAAAATGAGTGAAAAAACATCAATATCAATATAAATATTATTTAATTATAAAACCGTGAGTCTTGACATTTGGCTAAAATTCACCCTATGAAGTGTTTATATTTTACCGCTAAATTAAATGTGTTTTTTTGCGAAAAGGCAAAGACTATGCCTCATTGCAATAATAAGAGAAAGTTTAAAAAAACCTATAAGTGAACATTAAAAAAAGTTGTTTTATTATACATTGCAGATATTATCTAAATAACAAGACTACCTTCAAAACCATTAGCGTTTCATCAAGAAATTTAATACTCTAAATAAAGAAAATACACGCATCTGGAAGAAATTTCATAGTTCTCCGCAAATCAAATCAAATAGGTACATATATTTATAAATAACGGTACATTTTAAATATAAAAAAGTTATTAAAACAAAATGTAGTGTGAACCACCGAGGTCATTAATAATATAGATTTACCTACTCTCTTAAATTTAATTAGTCAAAAATGATCAATTATTATAACGAAATAGCAGCCACTAATAATTCTAGTTAACCGAAATTTGTATCCCGGACATTTGGCAGTCAATTCCTATGTAAAATTGTCGGCTGAATAAATTACAATGTCAAAAGTTATGAAAGAAGAACAGTTTTTAAGATATAGAAAATTTTAAATATAATTTAGAATGGACTATATCTCAAAAACTCTTTTAACTTTTGACGGTATTTTCGGATTCATTTGACAATTTTACATTTGAATTGACTGTTAATTTAACAGTGTTAAACTTATAGTCGCTGCGGCGAATGTTTTCCATTGCGTCATCAATTTCAAATGTCAAAAACCGGTTTGTCGATATATGTACGTCCGGCATACATCTCACATAAGCCTCGGCGATTATACAAAGAAAACAACAAATTGTAAACTGCATGTTTATAAAAGTAGTATACCTATAGGTATTTTTATCAGTGAATATGTTTTAAGTTTACAGACACCACGTGAAAATTCATTGTTTTTTCTATAAGACCATAACCATCTACTGTCTGCTTGCATACTAAAACTTCTTTTTCCGAATAAAAGTAGGTAGCAGCATTCTGTTTTTTATATTTAATGTTTTAATATTAAATAAATATAAATTTTTTTGTTTGTTACAGAGACCACGCTATACCAACGATGACAATATGCCACCGCCGCCCTCACCACCAAGATTAAGAGACTGCAGACTTGTTGAAACTACCCCCTCAAAGCATAGGTCTCCTGAAAGAGCCATACGCAGAAAGAGTTCCTTGGATAGAGAACACCTTACTAAAGATGCCCAGACAACAACGGTAAGTGTAAGTATTTCTTATTTTAAGTTTACTTAAACCACTAAAAACTAATGATTTTTCAATTTTGGCTTCCAAAACTTTACTGTTAAAAAATCCTATCGAAACATTTTTTAGATGTCTCATCTTTTATTATAAATATATACGGCAAAATATACCAGGCTATGGAAAATTCTTATAATGTTATTATTTCCTTGACAACTGTTGTACGTAAAGTTTTTTATTAAAATATAAAGATACAGTTTTGTTATGGAGCGTTATTCGCCTCAAGAATAAGCAGAAATTGTTAATTTATGTGTCCAAAACTTTTCTTCAATAATTTTAACTCACTCGCACTTTTACTATTTCAGGAAATTTTGACAAAATCTGACAACATCGCAATTAAATATGGAGAAATTTGTTAATGTCAATGTACATGTTGATATTTTGTTGGGACTCCCTTTTAATCAATTGACTTTTTTTCTATGCCAAAAAACGGACTTTTGTTTTCTCGATTTTATTCGATTTTTTCTTAAGGGGTTACTTGAAAGTAATGTCTATATAAGTGTGTTTCAAAAAAATTAACAATTATTTTTTTTCCAATGGTGTTAAAAAATTAATAGTACATTAAAAAACAAAAATGTTGGCGCCTATTTGAACCCTTAATATTAATATTAAGGTTTGCCTCAATTCATTTTTTGTTTTTCCGTTTCAATAACACGGGAATTTTTCTTTTTTCTTTTTGAATTCTTATAACTTTGGAATGGTTTGTTTTTGCAACACCCAAGCGAGAGGATTTATAGATAAATTCAAGCTCTACAAAAAACATCTGAAGGTGAAAGTCTTCAGATCAACCGTTTCAAAGATATCAGCGATAAAAAATAACACTAATAAAAAATTTCAAATATTTTCAAATAAAATACAAAAAAATATTAAATGCCTTATTTATATTATTTTTTATGTAAAATCACTTTAATTCTGTTAACCTAAGACTAAAAACTTTTTTTTTTATTTATATAAAGGTACATATACAATGTATATTATACATATATAAACACCCTGTATATACATTATGTATATATATATTTCTATATAAATAAAAAAAAAGTTTACAGTCTCAGGTTAGCAGAATTAAAGTGATTTTACATAAAAAATAATATAAATATGGAATATAATATTTTTTTGTATTTTATTTGAAAATATTTGAAATTTTTTATTTGTGTTGTTTTTGATCGCTGATATCTTTGAAACGGTTGATCTGAAGAACTTTGACCTTCAGATTTTTTTTGTAGAGCGTGATATTGTCTATAACTCCTCTCGATTGGGTGTTGAGAAAACAAACCATTCCAAAGTTATAAGAATTCAAAATGAAAAAAATAAAAATTCCCGTGTTATTAAAATGGAAAAACAACAAATGAATTGAGGCAAACCTTAATATTAATATTAAGGGCTCAAATATGCGCCAAAATTTTTGTTTTTTAATGTACTATTAATTTTTTAACACCATTGGAAAAAAAATAATTGTTAATTTTTTTGAAACACCCTAGTCTATATTAATCGCCCATATACGTTAGACGAAAAAACTGCCCAAATCCCAGCTAAAATATTGCGCAATGCACTGCTACACGCTCAAAAAAGAGTTGGTCACTGTTTGACTTGTCTTGGAGGTAATTTACTCGATAATAGTTTTAATAATAATAATAATAATAATAATAAATATTTTTATACGTTGATTTTTTTATTAAACAAAACTTCGCTGGATATATTTTGCCACACCCTATAGAAAATATTCTAGATGAATTTTACTATTTAATAAAGATTTAAAAGCAATCAAAGAAAATTATACTTCAGTAAAAAAAATAGGTAATTGTCATTCTCTACTCACCTTAAAATACTCAAGTCTAGGGATTTTTCTTCCGCCTACACAAGTTTGCCAATGGAAAATTGACAAACTTAAAAAAAAATTCGATTGTATTTTAAGCAAAATTTAAGTTTTTATAGAAAAACCTGCAAGTCTTTAAAAGTATTAGTAATATCTTTAAATGACAATACAATTCATTAATATTAGAACCAATAAAATGCCAGCATTCCATAGTTACGCAATATTTTTTATCATCTTGTTTACACGGTACTAAGGATTTTGACACTTTTCTTGATTTAACATTTGTTGTCATTTAAATTCTGTGTTTGATATATATCAATAAAATAATGAATTATAAACTCTAAAAGATCGATGGGTTGGTGTAAACGATAATGAAATTAAGGTAAGTTTGAATAAATAAGGTTTATTAAAGTCTTTTTATATTCTAAAGCACATTTTAATTTTAAATGTCAATTTGAAAATTTTTAAATCCTAAAATTCATTGAATTTTCTCACTAAATATAACTCGTGGTATGATTAATAATCGAAGATATTTACTCATTGAAACCAAAGCAGCACATTTCACTCGTCCTGCGGACTCGTGAAATCTGCAGCTCGGTTTCAATTCGAAAATATCATCGATGATAATCATACCACTTGTTATATAATGGGTGAAAATAGCTAAAACTGTTTGAGTTTTGCAAATACACAATAAAAGCTTTACTTTTTTTCATAATTTTTTTATTAAATTGTTTATTAATACCCTGCAAGGTGAGTTTTTTAAAGTGTTACAAGGCAATACCTTGAAAACGGTTCAATATATTTTTGTGAAATTTTAATGAAGTAATGGGGGCAGGGGGGACATATTTAGTCATATTTTTGCATATATGACAAGTTTAAATAACAATAGACTTCTATTGAAATCAGATATTTTTTACATTAAAATTATTGAGATTGCAGGTTTGTCAGGTTTGACGTTTGACATATGTTATATTATAGGTTATGTAAATAAATTTTTTTTATAGTGACCTGTAATTTTACATTTTCCTTGCTGATTTTATGCCAAACGCGATAGATGGAACCAATCTGTCTATGTAATTTTAATGTATTTTCATTATTGTACGCCGGTGTATAACACATTTTTTTAAGGGCGTACAAAAATGATCTCTCTCTCTATATACATAGGCTAATGAGTATTATAATATAAAAAAGTATTATAATATAAAAACTTTTATACGCTTGAAAAAAATATTATTTTAACATTGTAGGTGTATCAGAATGTACTTCCTTTAACATACTGACATTTCAATTTTTATGCCTTTATATTATACAATTGAGTAGAATAAATTATGTTTTCGTTTTAGTTATTAATAAAGATAAAATAAATATTAAAAGGACGCGCACTGTTTTACTATTTAAAATAATAATTTGCGCATTGTTATTAAATAGTAAAACGGAGTTCCATGGCATAATGTAAAATATTAATGTTTGATAAAGAAACAAGAAGATTTTAACTGAATATTTTAAAATATAATCAAACATCTGTAAAATTAAACATTAGGTTATAACAATATTTATAAAGTTTATTAACATTTAAATTTAGAAGCTAATTATAAATTTCACCTTCCTTTTTTTTGAGAACCATAGTCTAGGTTATTAATAGAATACTCATTTCTCATTTACTATAATTAGTCAAATTTGACATGTCCTTGCTCTAAATTTTGTAAAAGATAAATAAATCATATAAAATTATTATATAAAATTTTACAAAATAACTGTACAAACTCATGTTAACAAATTAGATTTTTGTAAAAATGTACCATTGCGAAATGGACCATGGCACTGCAGTGCCTTAGCCACTCGATTACTTTTTGTGGGGATAAGCTGAAAAAGCGCATACTATTCAGTTATTGGAAGATAGAGCTCAAAAGGTACGAAAACATGGTCTAAAATTGCATCTTCGTAAAGAAGAGCCATATTTCGTAAATTTAAATTAAAACATATTGTCATGAAACATTCTTTACAATAAATTTTTTATTTAAACTGATTTGGACATGCCGTGATTATTATCGCTCTTATAAAATACCCTTCACCACAGAAAACCTTAACATTTTACTAGTCCCAATGCATTTTATACCACCGATTCCAGATATTTTAAATCTACATTATATTTAGTTGAATAACAAATATTTTGTTTCTCTATAACTGACTAACAAAACTAAACATTAAGTATTTAATATGATGGCCTCAACCGCTTAATTGAATTCAAGTAAAATCTTAAAAATAAGTAAAGCTTTCTATTATGAATGAACCTTTGTACCGAACCATTTGGGTTAATATAAATATTAAATACTAAAAGATTAAAATGAAAATAACTCTTAATGATTATGGATTTTCAAAACTAAAATTATTTAGATACCTACCTACTAAAATCTTACAATTTATCATCAGTGATGATTTATCATTCACTTAACACAGATTTATAATTTTATTTCTAAATTTTTTAGTCCTTCGAGTTTAAAAACAATTAGAAAGTCAATAACCATACTTGTCCCTGAAAATAATTTGCTTTATCTACTCCTATAGCATAATATTGGATTTTATCCATATACAGGGTGTCCCAGAACTCGCGCTACAGAGAAAAAGGAAATGGGGCGACAGCAATCGAGATGAAAAAATTTAAAAGTGTAATTAAATAAGAGCAAAAAAACGCCAGCCAATACCGATAGCTCTTGCCTAGGTTAAACATTGTTGTTTTAAAAACATTTAAAAAACTTTTGGTCAACTGTATTTATAAAGCTTTAAAAAATGACTGATATTTCAGAATCCCAAAGTAAATAATCAAACTTTTAAAAGTTTTTTTAAATTTAAAATATTAATAATAATAATATTTATTAGCACCAATTTCGCCATACATAGAATGGTTAAGAAAAGCCAATACGTATTTAAATTTTAAACACAAGTTACAAAAGTAAATAAACTCACTTTTAAATTACAAAAACTATAAATTTCCAAAAAAGTAACAAACAACACTAAAACTAAATTAAATGTTATAAAGAAAGTGTGACCCCAAAAATAAAAATCCAAAGGATTTAAATCGGGTGAACGAGGTGGCCAACGAACAGGACCTCCTCATCCAATCCAACGAACACCGTATGTTTCA